CAACCCCGTTTCTACTAAAAATACAAAAAAATTAGCTGGGTATGGTGGCAGGTGCCTATAATCCCAGCCACTCGGGAGGCTGAGGCAGGAGAACTGCTTGAACCCGGGAGGCAGAGGTTATGGCGAGCTGAGATCGTGCCACTGAACTCTAGCCTGGGTGACAGAGCGAGACTGTCTCAAAAAAATTAAAATTTTTTTTAGAAATTATAAAACATTGGACACATGTGTGTTAACCAAGAAAAATAAAATAAAACCAAAGTAACAATGGTGACGACATGCAGGCTCCTGTTAAGGGATGCCAGCGGGGATCAAAGACAAAGCCCTGAAGCCAGTGTTTATCCAAAAGAAAGTCAGGTAATAGGTATCAAAATATACCTGGTCTTTGGGTCATAGAACGAGGAGGTTGGTTCCTCCTGAGTGAAGTAAACATATATTTTCAAAACTCACAGAAAGGAAGGCCTCCTAAGGGCCTCAAATCTAAGTTGGACAAAGTGCCCCCTTAGATGTGAATACTCCCTTAGCACTCCAACGGGGGCCTCCAGACAGTGAGATGCAGGCAGAGCAGAGTCACCCAGAAGCCAGGTTCGTCAGTTAAGGACTGTGGCATTATCAGCAAAGCACCCAAGCACGCCTCTGTGGACATCTGTCCTATTGATGTTCAATGAAGCATGCAGGGTCCTCCTAGAACACTAACTAATTTCTGTCTCAGGGGTCACATTTGAGCAGCCAGAGTCTTAAGTCACAGAGAGAAAGATGGAGCAGTCCTCAGATCAGGCCAGAAGCTGGGCCACCTCAGGGGAGTGGGAGCCCCTACAGGCGAGGTTACCTCGCACACGCCACATCGCCGGCGCTTAAAGGCGTTCTCCTTGTCTTCTCTGTCATCCTTTTCAATTTGCTCTGCGAAGAAAGTGTCGAAGATCTGGTAGACCAACTTGGTGGTGGTGGCTTTCGTGGGTCCCCTGTCCTTCTCCCTGGTAGAATGCCTGATGGCCTGCCGCCTCGCCTGGGCTCGCCTACAGGAGAGGGTCCAGCATCTCAGAGGACTGGCACAGAGGATGTGCACCATGCTCTAACCTCCTCAGTCTCCAGTCTTCACTCTCGTCCCCGCCGCATCCTTACCTCTGTCCCAGCGTGACCCCGGCCAGCTTGATCAGGTCCCGCATGCAGGGCGTCAGGAAGATGGGCTGCTCGTCACTGTCCCCGGCCTCGTCATAACTCTCCACCTGCTCCACCACAAACTGCGCGTGTCGCAGGAGGGAGTCCTCCGTGAAGCGGTTCAAGTTGAGGCCAGAAGGAGGAACTGTGGTCTTGAAAGAGAACAGGTTTCTCTCATGCTTAAGCCAAACTGGCCTAAATTCAACTGAAGAACAATGTCTGCTGGTTCTGAAGGCAAGTTTCCGGTGGGAATCCCAGATGCTGAGGCCTCTCGATCTCTTACCTCGATCTTGTTGATCAGGTCCTCGTAGGTCGAGTCGGAATTGCTCTGCAGGAACTCCACCACAATCTTGCTGATGTAGATCTTCTCCTGCATCAGCCCAAATATGGGCGCATACTCCGGGCTGGGATCCATCAGAATGTATTCGGCAAACGCTGGGGTGAACAGAGCAGGTGTGAAAAAGGGGTTGGAATCTGATGGCACCTACGGTGGCCACAGGGCAGGGAGGAGTCTACCAAACTCACCCAACAGTCTAAAAGTCATCCTGTACCCAAATGTCAGAAACACAGGGCACAACACATCATAGCTGGCTTGTTCTGAAGAAGCCTGTCTGAGTCAGCCAGAGAGCGAAGACTAGCTGAGTAGGCCTTCATTGAGCTCATCTCTGGTTTTTGGAATTCAGTCTGGGTTTGGGTTGCAAGAATAAGACCTGCTTTTTTTTTTTTTTTGTGGAGGAGGATGGAGTCTTGCTCCATCGCCCAGGCTGGAGTGCAGTGGCATGATCTCGGCTCACTGCAAC